TCCTCTCTTAAATAAATGAAATGACAAATGAATAATTTAGACATAAGTGTGGTGGTAGTAGTTGCTCCCTGAACATGAAGACTCATAAGAATGACAGTGCAGGAAAGGCATTCTGCGTCATCCTGTTTCTTCTTTGGGTCCAGGTTCCCATTGGGATCATGAAAGGTCACAGTGTTCCTTCTCTTGAGAAGGCAGGGAGTTTGGCTGCTATGATTCTTGAAGAGTGTGGCCTTGCAAATGTGATATCTGTGCTGACTTTCCCCTCCTGTATGCAGAGCAAGTGCAGGAGTGAGTGGGCTTGAACTTGGCTGACTCTCCAGAGTGAGGGCAACTTGGCTGCACACACGAGGATGTTGATGGAAATCAGCCAGGATGCTGGGGTAGGGACCTAGATTCAGAAGCAGAGCAGGACGGTGCCACTCAGGCTGCTGACAGCCCTGGAGAAGTGTTCCTATTGGAGAAAGCGGAGGGTGTAGGAAGAAGGGGTTTTGCTCAGTCTGGCCTCGTGGCACTGTTTTATTAATGATCTGGAAGAGAAGAGGAACAGTGACTTTAATTAATTTGCCAGTGATATTAAGAGATGTCAGGAGCTACTGCTGAGGACACAGACACCTTGCAGATGGTCCCAGGGAGGGACGGGGGCATGCAAAGAAATAATGCTGGAAAGAGAGGAGAGCCCCCCCTTTTTTATTTAATAAGGCTTTATTTTGTCAATTCATTGGACCTGTAAAAAAAAATTAAAAGCAGAATGAGAAGTTTTGTGAAGAGTATCTATGTACTTCCTCCACCATGAATTCTTGGATTCTCACCGCTTCATGCATCTTCACCAGCAGCTGGCGCATCTCCACCTTTGGTATTTCTGGTGTAAATTACTTTGACCTCTGTGCTTTGAAACCAGTTTGATAAGCCCTTTACTCAGGAGTTCCTGCAAGGCTGCCCTGGCCAGGGACCCATGGATCTTGAATCTCTCTGAGAACACAGCTGGCATGATGAGCTTGTAGTTGGGGACTTTGTTGCAGAGCTTGTCGTACGTGGCTTTGCCAAACAGAACCAGGTTGTTGAGCTTGTCCCGAATTTTTCCTTTGAATCACTTCTTCTTTCTGGCCTTGTTCCTCAGTTTGTTCATGGCGTCCCTATCTTTTTTGGCTGATTTCCTGACAGCTTTCTTCTTTCTATTGTCCTTGGGTGGCATGGCGAGGTGCAGAGAGCAGTGGTCAGTTGGGCTGAGAGGAAGTTGGTGTGGAAGTGGAGGATGAGCTGCAGATCCTCCCCCAGGCACCCCCTCTTTTCCTGGATCTGTTCCATTTGCAAGTGATTTCTACCTGATCTTCCTGCTCCATTCCTGTCTCCCTTACAGCCATCCTAAACCCTTTAGTGAAATTGATTTTTCTGAAATACAAAATCAGACCATGTCAGTCTCCTGCTTAAAATCCCATCACAGGCTTCTCACTGCCCTTAGGATAAAATCCTATCCTCTCCACCTGGCCTAAAAGACCAGCTACAAACAAAAGAGCCTTCTCCACAGTCAGCCTCATCCTCTGAGCCTCCTGCCTCACCCAGCATTCCTCATCATCCTGTGAGCACAGTTGGCTTTCCTGTGTCTCTGTGTGTTTGCTTGGCTTGGGCTAGTCTCTTTGACTTGAATGCCCTTCCCACTTCTTTTTTCTTCTTTGACTAATGCTCACTCATGCTTGAAGACTCATTTCAGGGTTCGTCTCCCTCTGAATGCCTCCCTCAGTCTCCAGGCTGGCTCAGTGCCTGCTCGCTGCTCCCCCATCATTCTGTTCTTACCTCCACTTTTTACAGGAAGGATGTCTGTCTGTGTGTCTCCCTTGTCCTTCTCCCCAATTCCTTTGAGAACAAACCCCACGTCTGATTTCCATTGCACCCACTGCTATCTGTTTCCAGGCTGAGCAAATCATAGGCTTTTTGTGTGTTTGTCAAACTCAGTTGAGAGAGAATTCAGGTGGGAGACCACAGCATGCAGCCAGGACTTCCCCAGTAAGCTCGGGGACTGGGACGCTCTGTCAGTGTTAGACTCTTCTATGAGGGGAGGGTTGCATGGTTCCTGAGTCCACATTGCACAGGAGGCTGAATGTGGACTACAGGGTTTCTACAACAAAGTGAAACATCTTTGTAAAATGGAGTGATTATGACCATAGATTTTATGCCATCAGCATGTTACTTTTCCTTGCTTCATACTTTAAGAAGTGACTTTACTAAAACTCAAGTTTCCCAAAACATAAAATAGGGATAAAAACATTAGTGATATGTTAGGGTTGTTATGCATGCAATCAATGCAAATGTTGCTTATTATCATTAGCATATCTATTATTATTATTTGAGATGGTCCATGGGGGTCTCAAATTGAGCCATGGATCTGCGTATGCCTAAGATAATGTGGGTTTCTAAGACCACCAAGAGGTTGGTATCTCTCTTGGTATCTGAGCCTAGAGTAGCAGCACCAAAAAATGATCACTGACTTTGTCATGGAAGTGGCCGTCTCTCGTCTCTCCCTCTCTCAGCCAGAAACTATTTTCCGGAAGGAATGGAAAGAGCAACGGGAAATTCACAGGAAATTTTTCATCTAAAGTTCCAAAACTTGTATTTAGGCATTCACTAACCTCCTTACCTTCTTGCCTTGTTTTTTTTTTTTTTTCCTTTGTTTTCCCAGAGAAAATAATCTTTCTAACTGACTTTTGATTCTAATCATGTGATAGCATATTCACTCCTAGAAACCTTGTCTACTAGGCCAAGGGAAAATGAAAACCCTGAGCCACTTGAATTCTCCTGGAGGCAGTGAACCCATTAATCAGGATAACATCCCATTTCCTCTTTGTTTTCTCTCTGTGGCACTTATAAAACCCTGAATTTACACATTTGTGAAGTTAGTTAATGCATCACTCATGCATTATTCTGTGAACTACAGCAAAGACTGTGTCTCCTCTGTTTATCATGGTACCCTAAGTAGTGAGTAGGGGCACAGTAAATGGGGATTTTGGGGATGGATGAATGTAATCACCAAGCAAGCTTCCTCAGGCATCAGTCTTCTTTTTTTTAAAAAAATTTATTATCAAAATTACAGTCATTTGTTTTGAAAATACATAGCAATCTTGTGAACAAATTCTGACTAGAGTTTAGGGACAGTGTTAGACTTCTTGACATCCTCTAAGATTGTAATTAAAGATTGCGCGTTCCTTTGGGATCCTGTATGCTAGGTTGTATACTCTAGCCAGGAAGCCTTTCCTGCTAACTGACTCTGTAGATTATCTTGGTTTCCCAGAATGGCAAACAAAAGCTGAGGCTTACATTTCCTGTTAGTCCAGGTACTCATGAGGATGACTGTGGAAGAGCTGGGTGATTCAAGATACTCAGCATCCATTTTATGGTTGGCAAAGCTCTCCTACTATGATAAACACAAAGATCCTCATTCGCATGTTGGATACCCACCCTGGAGAAATGCAGGGAAGAATCTTAGTTCCTGGCCTTGATTTTGGAAACACCCTGACATTGTGGATTTGACCATTAAGGGTGGGAAGAAATAATGGATGAGGATGATAACCTATGCAATGGTTTGGAGGTGGATAACAACTTGATGCAATCCAAGAGAAGAAATGAAGGTCATTGTTATTCAAATGTAGTAAGCTGGGTGGAGGAAGAGAAGGAGGAGAGCACAGTGGAGGGGAAAGAGGAGAAAGGAGTTCATGCAATGCATGCTCTTCCTAGCAAGAGCAAGGGTTTCAAGTAAGGGATAGTATACCTCAGTTTGTTTTTGGATATTACCATGTCTGTAGAGGCCAAATAGAATTGAGAACTAGCCATTCTTGGATTTTAGTGAGTTCAAAGAGAGGGCTATGGGGGGCAGATTCAGTAGGTGAGGAGTGGGGCTGAAGAGGGAAGAAGAGGCAACAGACTGGTGCTGGGCTGGATGATGGACGGGAGGGAAGGACAGGTTTGCAGATTGACACAATGGTGTGGATGGGATGGGAACAGTGGAGAAGCAGAGCAGATATGAACGACAGGACTTAGAATCTGTAAATTTGCTGTATAAATGCAAAACACCATTCCTTTGTTACCAGAAGTACCTGTGTGTTTGTAGCTGGAGAAAAATGGGCAGATTCCTAGTGTGTGGTTGTTTTCATTCTTGTTCTATCTCAATCAGGCAATAATGGAAACATAAGTCTATTGTTTAAATTGTATTTTTATTTTAAAATTTTAAATTAAAAGGCAGAGTGATACATATCATTATATATATAGAGAGAGAGACAGACAGACAGACAGAGACAGGGTATGTCTTCTATCCATTAGTTCATTTCCTAAGTGACTGTATTAGAGGCCACGCCTAACCTAGGAGCTTAGAGCTCCATCTGGGTCTCCCTCATGGGTGGCAAGAACTCAACTACTTGGGCCATCTTCCACTGCTTTCCCAGGCACATTAACAGGGAGCTGGATCGCAGCAAGTAGCTAGAACTCTGAGATGGAATTCCATTGTTGCAAGCACCAGCTTAACCCACTGTAGTACAACACTGGTCCTTCTATTTGTGTTTTGTTACACTCTCTTTGTACTCAACTTTTAGTGGAGTGAGATCAGCACATGAGGCTGTTTTTCAAAAATTTTTACAAAATTCTGGGACTTGACAAGGAAAGCTGAGAACCCTGGAAACAGCTTCAGTGGGGATGAAGACGCAGGTCGTCTGTGGCCTGTATTCAGTTGATTCTTGACACTCACAGTTTGCAGTGGGTTGGAAGGTGACACGAGAAAGCTACCGCTTGTGTTTCTGTTGCCAGTATTCTCAGCTGTTTTAAGCCATTCTTTAACTGAGTCTCCTCACTAGATGATTTTGAGGATGGAGCAGCTCTCATCCATTATCATCTGTTTTTCCAAGTAAGATAACCTCATGTCACTCAAGGTGAAGCATCACACTGTGTTGGTGGAAACCTGCTAACCCTCTACTGACCCATTTTCTCATGCTTTTTCCTGCCTCTCTGTTCTTTTCTAGGTCTCTGGCCTGTCAGGAGGACCCTTGGTGCTGCGGTGGAAGCCAGCGGCTAAGTCTTGTGTATGGCGTGGTTAAGGTTGCAGCCTCTCACCTCTGCCTTCCTCCATTTTGGGCTGGTTACTTTTGTGCTCTTCCTGAATGGTCTTCGGGCAGAGGCTCGTGGTTCAGGAGATGTGCCCAGCACGGGGCAGAACAATGAATCCTGTTCAGGGTCATCGGACTGTAAAGAGGGTGTCATCTTACCCATCTGGTATCCGGAGAATCCTTCCCTTGGGGACAAGATTGCCAGGGTCATTGTGTATTTTGTGGCCCTGATATACATGTTTCTAGGGGTGTCTATCATTGCTGACCGCTTCATGGCCTCTATTGAAGTCATCACCTCTCAAGAGAGAGAGGTGACTATCAAGAAGCCCAATGGAGAGACCAGCACAACCACGATTCGGGTCTGGAATGAGACTGTCTCCAATCTGACTCTTATGGCCCTGGGTTCCTCTGCTCCTGAGATACTCCTCTCTTTAATTGAGGTGTGTGGTCATGGATTCATTGCTGGGGATCTGGGACCGTCCACCATTGTAGGCAGTGCAGCCTTCAACATGTTCATTATCATTGGCATCTGTGTCTATGTGATCCCCGATGGAGAGACACGTAAGATCAAGCACCTACGAGTCTTCTTTGTCACTGCTGCTTGGAGTATCTTTGCCTACATCTGGCTCTATATGATCCTGGCGGTCTTCTCTCCTGGCGTGGTCCAGGTCTGGGAAGGTCTCCTCACTCTCTTCTTCTTTCCAGTGTGTGTCCTTCTGGCCTGGGTGGCAGATAAACGACTGCTGTTCTACAAATACATGCATAAAAGGTACCGCACGGATAAACACCGGGGAATTATCATAGAGACAGAGGGTGACCACCCCAAGGGTATTGAGATGGATGGGAAAATGATGAATTCCCACTTCCTGGATGGGAATCTGGTACCCCTGGAAGGGAAGGAAGTGGATGAATCTCGCAGAGAGATGATCCGGATTCTCAAGGATCTGAAGCAAAAGCATCCGGAGAAGGATTTAGATCAGTTGGTGGAGATGGCCAATTACTATGCTCTTTCCCACCAACAGAAGAGCCGCGCCTTCTACCGGATCCAGGCCACCCGCATGATGACTGGTGCAGGCAACATCCTGAAGAAACATGTGGCAGAGCAAGCCAAAAAGGCATCCAGCATCACTGAGGTGCACACTGAGGAGCCTGAGGACTTTATCTGCAAGGTCTTCTTTGATCCATGTTCTTACCAGTGCCTGGAGAACTGTGGGGCTGTGCTCCTGACGGTGGTGAGGAAAGGGGGAGACATGTCCAAGACCATGTACGTGGACTACAAAACTGAGGACGGTTCTGCCAATGCCGGAGCTGACTATGAGTTTACAGAGGGCACTGTGGTTCTGAAGCCAGGAGAGACACAGAAGGAGTTCTCTGTGGGCATCATCGATGATGACATTTTTGAGGAAGATGAACACTTTTTTGTACGGTTGAGCAATGTCCGCCTTGAGGAGGAGCAGCTGGAGGAGGGGATGCCTCCCGTCATGCTCAACAATCTTCCCTTGCCTCAAGCTGTCCTTGCATCCCCCTGTGTGGCCACGGTGACTATCTTGGATGATGACCATGCAGGCATCTTCACATTCGAGTGTGATACTGTTCATGTCAGTGAGAGCATTGGTGTTATGGAGGTCAAGGTTCTGCGGACATCAGGTGCCCGGGGCACAGTCATCGTTCCCTTTAGGACAGTAGAAGGGACAGCCAAGGGTGGTGGTGAGGACTTCGAAGACACTTATGGGGAGCTGGAATTCAAGAATGATGAAACCATGTAAGTAGTCTTTTGGTGTTCTCCTCCTCCCGCATTCCACTTCCTGTGTTCTCTTTCTGTTTCCACTGCGCTCCTTGAAAACTCTTGCTTATGTTGTGCTAATGTCAACCTTTGATTCCTATCACAGGTATGCAGGATAAGCAGACACTGCCAGCCAGATTCTGCTTCCAAATCCTCTTTCGGGTTTCACTCTTTAAATTGTGACTGGCCAAAGAATCTGGTGATGGGTCCTCTGGGTATAGGGCATCTCGACATCTCCTGAAAGTCCAAATGATGCTTGGGTGGCATTTGAGTTGACAGCAGTTTTGTGATAGATTTTGAAGGATTCCGTGGCTACACAGGAGCTAGGCAGCTGCTTAGGCCTCTCTTTCCTGCCTTGCTTTGAAGCCAATCTTTTCTGTTCCGTGAGAGGAGAGCTCACTCAGGACATCCCTGAGAAAGCAAATGGCATTGGCTTTGCCCCTGGTGTTGGGTTATAATTGGATAAAAGATAAAAGGCACCTCGCCTTTAATCTGGAACTTGTGTGATTATTTATCTTTCAATGCTCATATAGTGTTTGACAATGCAAGGTTGCCCAGCTGAGGTGAGCAGAATAACCCGTATGGCTTGGGTACTGGTGGAGATGTGTTGCAGAAGTTGAGTTCCCAGGACGGTGGCCACCTGCCTGTAGTCTAGGTTCTAAACTCTGAAATCTGGCTAAGCAGGGAAAGAAAAGCCTTTACCAATTGTTGGACAATATATCTACCTGTGTGGCCATCTTTTCACCGTCCAGGAATGTCCTGAAGTACTTCCCAGGTTACTGATGCAGATACTCCTTCAGAAACTCCAAGTGTTGGGCTTCTGTTGCCTTGGTTACCCTAAGGGCCCTCCCCATCAAATCTTCTTGCACATTGGATATTCTGTTCTTTTACTAGGTAGAGGGCTTTGAAAAAGAAAACTAGATGGTTTCCCTCTAGGATTTGCAGCTTACAAGATGCCAGGCTGTCTAGAGTGGCCGAGCAGGATGGAAATGAGAAAGGGCAACCTCCCTCTGAGTTCCTGTTTGCTCCCACAAGCAATAGGCAGACGTAGGAGATGTTGTGAGGAATATGATGTTGAACTATCTTAAGAACCAGACATGAACCCCTGCAACTTCTAGAAGAGAGAAGGAAGGTCCCCCAAGAAAAGGTAGATCATTGGACTAGAGCAAGAAGTGTCATAGAGAAACTTGTTCAAAAAGGGTGGGGTTCCACTGAGCACAGGGCTGAGGGACCCAGGAGATTCTGCTCCTGCCCAAGCTCAAATTTCTTGCAAAGGATGTGACTTTGGGTAAGTCATTTAGTGGCTGTGAATCTCACTGTCTCGTGTGCACAGTGGGAATACCAAACACTGTTCGGACAAGAGGCAGGGTCAGATGTGTTTGGAGTTCCTTTCCATTCGAGGATTGTCTGCCCCAGACACACATGTACTCAGTGTAGGTCATATTTGTGTTAAGCCAAAAATGAAACAGAGGATATTGTCTCCTGAAGGAAAATAGCCGTTGACAAATTGATTTATTAGGGCTCTGTATAGTCATTTTGCTGGGAAGGATAATCATTTGTTAGCGTAAGTAAAAACCTGTGTCTCTTCCAGAGAATACTGTCCATTTATATATGCTCTGGGGAGAGAGCGTATACATACAAATGAAGGACAGGCCCTTGGCTGGAAGACAAAATTTCACACGTAATTGTGGCAATGTCAGTGGGCAATATATGACACCAGGGCCACACAATTTGCTATAATCCCACAGGCTCAGGACTTCGCTCGTGGAGTACCCTCCCTACCATTGCCATGTAAGGTGGTTTTTGAGAGAGCAGAGAATGGGTTCCGGTTTCCCTATTCCTTTAATAATAATTTTTATGCTTGTGATCTCTGATATGACTAAGCCTTTCTCACATTCACTTGGATTTCAGTTTGTGCTGTATCTTGGTATAAATGAATAATGAGTGTTCATTCACTCTACATGCATATCAATATCCAGAAGTTTAAGATGCTAATCCACATAGTCTGAGCTTGGGTGAACAACTCTGTGTTCACATCTGCTCCTTTGCATTGTTTTTAGATTGTAGTACTGTTTTAACCTTTGAGACTGATTTGTTGTAGAGGGATGAATCCAGAACCCGTTACTCTGTCCTCACTCTGCAGCTCTGACCTTAATACTTTAAAATTGTAATTTTCCAACTTGAAGCAGTGTTATGTAAGCAGAAAAACCATGGGTTCTAAGTACTCGAGATGAGAATTCTGACACTATTGAGGAAGTGGGGAGACATGTCCAAGACCATGTATATAGGAATCTTAGCAACCCAGGAGAGCTATAATGATGATTCAGTTGTGTGCAGCATATCTGATGGATGTTATATGTTGGACAAAGTGCTTAACAATAATATTGATGAATTAACAATACTCTTCAGAATGTACTGATGAAATGGTCAGTTTACTTAGATCTCTGTGGAAACTAATTAATGAGCATGCTGGTTTTTGGTTACCACAGATAGTCCTAACTTAAACTTATAACATATTAGAGCCAGGAGGGACCTTAAAGTGTCTTCTGGAGTCTTGCTTCCTAAATTTTAACTTGCTTATCAATCACCTAGGGTTCTTGCCAAAATGCAGAAGGTCTCAGCTGAGGGTTGAGTTTCTGTATTTGCAATAAGCTTCTGATGCTGCCAGTCCCAACTTGGAGTGGAAAGGCTTTAAAGCTCTTGACCAAATAATGAGATGCAGAGAAGATGGCTTTTCAAGTGACTAGCTAATTTAATCATGGATGTTTGTTTTCCAGTTCCAACTTTCAACCCCAGCCTAGCAAAAACCCAGATCTTACCCTGAGGCCCTGCTAATTGCAATATCAATCTGGAAACTGAAATTGAACCCTCAAGGTAGTTGGACAGATGCTATATAATGGAGCAATTCCATTTTCTAGTCCCCACCCCTTTGGGTGGCTCTATTTGCCTACCAAGCCTGGTAGTGTCCTAATAATTTGTTCTCACATACCCTTCTAAATATAATCAAATTATGTAGTCAGGCTGGAGCTCTGGTAATAATATTGGATCCGTGAAATCACCTGTTTGGCTTTATGCTTTACTTCTTCAACGCTGCCCTTGGTAGCACAACGGGATAGGTGGGCATTGAGTGTTAAAGTCTGACAGGCAGATGTGAATTCATCATTTACCAGCTGAGTAACTTTGAATGAAGTCACTGCACATTTCCAAGTCCTAGTGTTTTTCTTTTTTTTTGAAATGATAAAAATAACAGTGTCTGTGATGCAAGGGAGTGGTAAAATGTAAAACATGCATAAAAAATGCACCTTTAGGACAGACAACCTTCTCATAGAAGGTAAACAAGTCAGTTAACAAACATTTTAAAAATATTTCCTTTGCATTAGATACATTGCTAGACACAGGGAATAAATACCTGAGTGAGGCAAGACAACATTTCAGCATTCAAGGATCTTACCCTCAGGGGAAAGGATGAAGGTAACCAGAGAAATCAAAGTAATATGGCTGAGACAGATCAGTGAGAGAGAAAGGAGAGCTCCCTGCCTTGTGGGACACTCTGAAGTCACCTTCATGAGAGCAGTAGGGGGTCGCTACCTTACAGTCATGCCACCAGAAACCCTTGACATTTGACAAGGCTGCTGTTGACGTCTTCAAGACCTAGAAGAACACTTGCCTTTGGGACCTTCACTACAGTACATTGTGGGACTTATGGCCCTTAAGACTTAGCACACAATAGCACAACCTCACAGACTATGGCTTCTGTCTGCATGCTAATATCACTCATTAGACAAATGATTGGCTTTTCCATTCCAGGATCACAGCATGCCACTGCAAAATAACAGATGATGGCAGCTCACGGGCCTTGAGGGTCTCTGGGAATAGTCAAAGCCACAGATGTCAAATATGCAAATATCGGTATCTACTATAATTAAATATAGCACAGGCCTCCTTAAAAGAAGAGTGAAGTGTTGATGGTGCTGTACATTTGTGAAAGTTGGAAGGTATCTGACCTTCTGTTTCACAAATTACAAAGCCAAGATTCAGAGATGGAAAGGAGCTTGTCCAAGATCACACAGCTCTGTAGCAGGAAAGAGTTAAGGTTGAAGGCCAGTGTTGCAGCACAATGAGCTTAGTCACCAGCAGGCGTCATATATCGGAGCAAGAGTTTCAGTCCCACACCTTTGCTTTTGATCCACCTGCTAATGCAGCTAAGAAAGGAGCAGAAGATGGCCCAAGTACTGGGCCCCTGCATCCATGTGAGAGTCTAGAATGGAGTTTCATGCTCTGGCTTCAGCCTGGCCCAGCCCAGCCTGTTTCTGGCATTTAGAGAGAAAATCAGCAGATCAAGAAACTAACTCTCTATGCCTTTCAAATAAATAAAATTCATCTTTTTATTTTCTAATAAGGCTGCAAATATTTTAAAAGTGATTATTTAATTCTTATCCCCCAGTTCTGGTTTGCATTTCTCCATTTTATTTTTATTTATTAGTAAAAGGTTGCAAAAGAACCAGGCTCTCGGGTGGAAGATGTTCTAGAAGTCTGAATCAAGAAGCATCATGTGACAAATGTCTTAACTAGGAATGCTTAACATAGTGTGACTATTTTTAACCTTTTGATTCACTTTGAGACTGCTTAGAAAGGAAAATACTGAGTCCATAGACGTGTTTTTTTTTGTTTTGTTTGTTTATTTGTTTTAAGAGCTTTCTTTAAGTTGATTCTTTACCAAGAAAAAGAGACATGCACAGCTGGGACAGCTTTGAGGCTGTGCTGATCAGCTGCATTTTGGACCTTGTTTCCATTCACTAATGAGTTATTTTTTTAAATTTTTTTACTTTTTCTAAAAATGATGCATACCCTTTCCTTCCAGGACTGCTTTCTCTGTAATGTTTCTACTCCAAGAAATCTGTTCACCGACAGCTCTCATGGTACAATTTGTGTACTGTCCAATGTGACTGCATTGGACAGTTTCCTCTGGGGAACTTCTC